CTTGTGTATCATCACATATTCAGTGCTGCATTACTAATAGTGAAGCGGTAGAGCAATCTTAACATAATTAAAATTTCAATTTGGACCCGTAGTTAAGGTTTCTCTGTGTAAACCCCTGGAGTGGCATTCTTTAGGAACAAGATTGCAGTTTGTTCTGTTCACTGCAAAGACAAAATTAAATATTTTTCCCTTAAAAGCAATGCAAGCTCCTAAACCTTGATCCAGGATTTCACAGGTTAGTGGGTTAAAGACAGGAGATAAATCAGAGGAAGTAGAACAGAAAGAGGCAGCTGTTTTGTTAGTTCCCTCAAAAGACCTAAAGCTGTTTGTTGCACTGCTTTTGTTGGTCAGAAAGCATACCCTGCATTAGTGCAATCCCAGGGTGATTTCTTCAGATTCAGCAAGATGGATGGGTTAAGGTGGGTTTTTTTTTGTTTGTTTTTCCCCCCAGTCTTCCATCAGTTTTTTCCTCCCTCAGTGTCTGGTTAATAATTTGTGCTTGGAGGATGGATGAAACACCCTTCATTCCTCCTCGTCTCCCCCTTAGTGTGGAATCGCACAAAACACCACAGCACCTGCAGAGCACAGCTAACTCAGGAGCACCGCTGCCCGTTTCAAATTCTGCCTTTTCAAGCACCTACCACTTGTCTCATATTGCAATAGTCTGTCTTGGCTGATTTCTGTTTAAAGTGCAGGACTCTGCAGATAAAACTCAGATGATACTGACTGCAGTTCATTTTACTTCAGTATTTCAGGTGCTATATTTGTGAATTATTCAGACTCTCTCTTAGTAACAGCAACAGGTTTCCTCTTTTCATGTTGCGGTGTTTAACTGGAGATGCATATTGTATATGATATCCCCCACCCCGCCAGACGATGCTGGCGGCTTCGGTTTGTTTTAAACCGTGAAATCCAAAATAACAAACACCTCAGCTGGTGGTGCTTGAAGTTAAATCTCCGCTGGTGTATCATCTTCCTCTGCGTTTGCTTTTGCTTGCCGTCTGTGCACACACGTGTACAAAGAAAGTCAATATGTGGTTTCACACTTTCAGCATTGTTAACACAGTAAACATCAACTACATATAGCAAATATGAAGTTCTGTAAATATGGATTATGGTTTCATAGCATTAGTATAAAAATATCAACCTGTAAACAGTATTGATTTATTTGGCCTAGATGGGTTTTTTGTTTGTTTGGATAGGTTCTTA